GCTAATGATGATGATCATGTAACTTCAGATCAAGTTACTACCGAATCTCGTAGGTAAACCAGAGTGAGATCCGCACCAGAGTGGTACGGTAATCCTGTTCTGGAAGTCATGTCACTAGACCATGACGAACTTGCGAACTATGAGGAAGCGATGATGAGCCCAGATTCCGCGAAATGGTTTGAGGCCATGAAATCTGAGATAGGATCCATGTATGAGAACAAAGTGTGGACTTTGGTGGACTTGCCCGAGGATCGGCAAGCCATTGATAATAAATGGATCTTCAAGAGGAAGACGGACACGGATAGTAGTGTTACTATCTACAAAGCTAGAATTGTCGCAAAAGGTTTTCGACAAGTTCAAAGTGTTGACTACGATGAGAGTTTCTCACTCGTATCTATGCTTAAGTCTGTCCGAATCATGTTAGAAATTGCCGCATTTTATGAAATCTGGCAAATGGATAACAAAACTGCAATCCTTAATGGATTTCTTAAAGAAGAGTTGTATATGATGCAACCAGAAGGTTTTGTCAATCCTAAAGGTGCTAACAAAATATGCAAGCTCCATCGATCCATCTATGGACTGGTGCAAGCATCTCGGAGTTGGAATATGCGCTTTGATGAGTTGATCAAAGCATATAGTTTTATATAGACTTGCGGTGAAGCCTATATTTACAAGAAAGTGAGTGGGAGCACTACAGCATTTCTGATAAGCATATGTGAATGACATATTGTTGATCAGAAATAATGTATAATTATTCTGTAAAGCATAAAGGAGTGTTTGAAAGGAGTTTTTCAAAGAAAGACTTCGGTGAAGCTGCTTACATATTGAGCTTCAAAATCTATAGAGATAGATCAAGACGCTTGATAAGTTTTTTCAATGAGTACATACCTTGACAAGATTTTGAAGTAGTTCAAAATGGAGCAGTCAAAGAAAGAGTTCTTGCCTGTATTACAAGGTGTGAAGTTGAGTAAGACTCAAAGCCCGACCACGGCGGAAGATAGAAAGAGAATGAAATTCATTCCCTATGCCTTGGCCATAGGTTCTATAAAGTATGTCATGCTGTGTACCAGATCTATTGTATACCCTGCACTGATTTGGCAAGGGAGTACAATAGTGATCTAGGAGTAGATCAATGGACATCGGTCAAAATTATCCTTACTGGAATAAGGATATGTTTCTCGATTACGGAGGTGACAAAAGGTTCGTCGTAAAGGGTTACGTCGATGCAAGTTTTGACACTGATCCAGATGACTCTAAGTCTCAATCTGGATACATATTGAAAGTGGGAGCAATTAGCTAGAGTAGCTCCATGCAGAGCATTGTTGACATAGAAATTTGCAAAATACATGCAGATCTGAATGTGGCAGACCCGTTGACTAAACTTCTCTCACAAGCAAAACATGATCACTTTTTGGGTCTTAATCACATAGCGATGTGAACTAGATTATTGAATCTAGTAAACCCTTTGGGTGTTAGTCACATGGAGATGTGAACCAATCACATAAAGATGTGAACTATTGATGTTAAATCACATGGCGATGTGATCTAGATTATTGACTCTAGTGCAAGTGGGAGACTGAAGGAAATATACCCTAGAGGCAATAATAAAGTTATTATTTATTTCCTTATATCATGATAAATGTTTATTATTCATGCTAGAATTGTATTAACCGGAAACATAATACATGTGTGAATACATAGACAAACAGAGTGTCACTAGTATGCCTCTACTTGACTAGCTCGTTAATCAAAGATGGTTATGTTTTCTAACCATGGACAAAGAGTTGTCATTTGATTAACGGGATCACATCATTAGTTGAATGATCTGATTGACATGACCCATTCCATTAGCTTAGCACCCGATCGCTTAGTATGTTGATATTGCTTTCTTCATGACTTATACATGTTCCTATGACTATGAGATTATGTAACTCCCGTGTGCCGGAGGAACACTTTGTGTGCTACCAAACATCACAACGTAACTGGGTGATTATAAAGGTGCTCTACAGGTGTCTCCAAAGGTACATGTTGGGTTGACGTATTTCGAGATTAGTATTTGTCACTCCGATCGTTGGAGAGGTATCTCTGGGCCCTCTCGGTAATGCACATCACTTAAGCCTTGCAAGCATTGCAACTAATGAGTTAGTTGCGGGATGATGTATTACGAAACGAGTAAAGAGACTTGCCGGTAACGAGATTGAACTAGGTATTGGATACGGACGATCGAATCTCGGGCAAGTAACATACCGATGACAAAGGGAACAACGTATGTTGATATGCGGTCTGACCGATAAAAGATCTTCGTAGAATATGTAGGAACCAATATGGGCATCCAGGTCCCGCTATTGGTTATTGACCGGAGACGTGTCTCGGTCATGTCTACATTGTTCTCGAACCCGTAGGGTCCGCACGCTTAAGGTTTCGATGACAGTTATATTATGACTTTATACGTTTTGATGTACCGAAGGTTGTTCGGAGTCCCGGATGAGATCACGGACATGACGAGGAGTCTCGAAATGGTCGAGACATAAAGATTGATATATTGGAAGCCTATGTTTGGATATCGGAAGTGTTCCGGGTGAAATCGGGATTTTACCGGAAAACCGGGAGGTTACCGGAACCCCCCGGGAGGTACATGGGCCTTAATGGGCCTTAGTGGAAGAAGAGGAGAGGCGGCCAGGGCTGGGCCGCGCGCCCCTCCCCCCTAGTCCGAATAGGACAAGGAGAGAGGGGGTCGGCGCCCCCCTCCTTCTCTCTCTCTCTGTTCCCACCTCGCGAATCCTATTCCAACTAGGATTGGGGGGGGGGAATCCTACTCCCAGAGGGAGTAGGACTCCTCCTGGCGCGCCCTATGATGGCCGGCCGGCCTCCCCTCTTGAACCTTTATATACGGAGGCAGGGGCACCCCTAGAGACACAAGTTGATCCACGTGATCATATTCTTAACCGTGTGCGGTGCCCCCTTCCACCATAGTCCTCGATAATATTGTAGCGGTGCTTAGGCGAAGCCCTGCGACAGTAGTACATCAAGATCGTCACCACGCCGTCGTGCTGACGGAACTCTTCCCCGACACTTTGCTGGATCAGAGTTCGGGGATCGTCGTCGAGCTGAACGTGTGCTAGAACTCGGAGGTGCCGTAGTTTCGGTGCTTGATCGGTCGGGCCGTGGAGACGTACGACTACATCAACCAAACGCTTCCATTTTCGATCTACAAGGGTACGTAGATCACACTCCCCTCTCGTTGCTATGCATCACCATGATCTTGCGCGTGCGTAGGAATTTTTTTGAAATTACTACGTTTCCCAACAGATTCGTGGCATGAAGACGACGACATCTATGTCAAAGGTGAAGATGAAGATGAAGCCAATGATGTTGATATTAGTGGCGCTCCATTGTTCATAGACGAGCTCACCCAAAGAGCGGGAGCACAAAAGAAGCGGAAGAGCATTCGCACCGGTTCATATACACAAGATGAGGACAAGTTGATTTGTCAATGTTGGATGGAGATTAGCCAAGATCCAAGGACCGGCGCGCAACAAAAGGGCATTGTTTTTTGGACGAGAGTCCACAAAACATTCCATGAAAGGAAGATGTTTGAGCCCTACCAAATTACAAGCAACCGTGGCATCGGTTCGATTCAAAAAAGATGGTTGTTCATCCAACAAGAGTGCAACAAGTATTGTGCCGCATTTGAGAGCGTTGAAACACGGCCCGTGAGTGGTCTCGGCGTTGGGGACATGGTATGCTCTTCTCTTTCTAGCCCTTTCCTTGCTACGGCCATGATACTTCGGCCGTGTATATGTTTGTATGTTCACTTGTTGTTGACCATGTGGTGTAGGCATTTCAATCTTTGGAGGCATTCAAGGCCCGACACAATGACAAGCCATTCACTCTTACGCATTGTTGGACGCTCATCAACAATTGCCCTAAGTTCAAGGATCAATACCATGAACTTCAAAGGAAGAGAGGCAAGAAAACGGCCAAGTTCGCCGGAGGTGGGGATGGCGAGGCGTTGAATAGACCGAGGGGCAAGACCAACTCCAAGATGGACGACATACGTGACGCCTCAACCATGGCCTTGCATGAGACTTTGCATGACATGATGTCACATAAGGATGTGAGGGACGAGAAGAAGCGGCAAAGTAAGGACGAGCAAATGAAGCAATACCTAGACCTCCAAAGACAGAAGCTTGAGATGGAGGAGGCGGCCAAGAAAAGGAAGATAGACATGGAGGAGGCGGCCCGGCAAAGGCAGCTCGACATGGAAGAGGCCGCCTGGCAAAGGCAGCTCGACATCGAGGCCGACAACGTCAAGGCCAGGCAGAGGCAGCTCGACATCGAGGCCACCAATGCCGCCACCAAAGCGAAGGAGGTGGCCCTTGCGATCATGAGCGTGGACTTGTTGAAGATGAGCGACAAAAAGAGGGCTTGGTTCGAGGCCAAGCAGAAGGAGATGCTCGACGCCGAAGGCCTGAACTAGGTCGTCCGATCGGCGTGGCCGTTCTTTTTGAAGGCTGGCATGGGTGCCGCCCGCCCGCTGGCCGCTGGCTGTGTGCCGGCGAAAAAACATTCACTTTGGAGGCCGACTGTGTTGCCGGCCGCTGGCTGTGTTGCCGGCGAGGACAACTATTTATTTTGGAGGCTGGCTGTGTTGCCGGCCGCTGGCTGTGTTGCCGACGATGGTCGTGTAGGCCGCTGGCTTTGTTGCCGGCGTGATGAACTGGGGTCGTGAACTGGGGCTTGGCATTTGAAACGTCCCTTTTTTTAAAATAGACGCGAACAGGATGGGGCAAAAGGATGCGTTCGCGTGGTGGGCGCACGGCCACCGCATCCCAAGACAGGCCCGGACACGACCCCAAATCCCTAACCAAAGGGATAAAAACAGGACAAAACGGATGTCCGTTTGGGGTCGTGCGGTGAAGTTGGCCTAACGTCATTTGAAAAAAGGAAAAGTGTCCCTTTCAACCGACTGATTTCTCCTTGGCATCAGCCGCACCGCGATGCGTCCGATCCAGTTGGATCGTGCGGCGCTCGTGGTCCCACATGTGAACTCGCGTCAACTGGCTGTCCCTCGTGTGGTACACGTCTTCCATGAGACCCACCCACCGCCCAGCCTCCTCTTATCCTTTCTTCTCGGTCTAGTCCTTTCATACGATTTCCTCTTTTCCCCATTCCCATCCACCAGTGGATCTCATCCAGCGGAGGAGCTCCACTCCGGCCGCAGCCACCATGTCACAGGACATGGCAGTAGGGAGCACGTGCTGGAACGCAACATCGCGACTGGCCGCGTCAGCGCAACCTCCGCCGATGGTGTGGCAGCAAGCGCTAGGGGTGTAGTAGCACGGCGACCGGCCGCGTCAGTGCAACCTCCGCCGGGGATGCGGCAGCAGGGGCGGCGACGTCTGCAACGGTTACCGGCGCTGCCGGCGATGCGACGCGGGAGGTCGGCGACGGCCGGCAGTGCTGCGACGCAATGCTCCGTCCATGGATGTCGGCGCTGCGATGTGGCCCTCGTCGGCAACTACCAGTGTTACGATCCATCACCCACCGGAGGGGTGTGTCAAGCCGGAGAGGTGGTGCGCGACGCGGTGTTCCAACACCATCGCAGCTCCGACGGTGTCGCGGCCGCTACAACGCAACTCCAACAGTGTCGACGACCTCTGCATTGCAGCTCCGGCGGCGTCGCGGCCTCTGCATCGCAACTCCAACGATATCGAACGAGCAGTTTAGGCAGCGGCGCGGCGGCTGCGTTGCAGCTCCGGCGGCATCAACGAACTGCTGGACAATAGCTTCAGCGGCGTCGCGGCCGCTGCATCGCACCTCTAGCGGCATCGACGAGCACTGATGGTAGCTCCGGCGGCGTCGCGGCAGCTGAATGCAGCTCTGGCGGTGTCGTGGCCGTTGCATAGCAACTCCGACGATGACATGGCCGCTGCATTGCAGCTCCGGCGGCGTCGCGGGCGCTGCATTGCACCTCGAGCGGCATCGACAAGCACTGCATGGCAGCTCCGGCGGCATCGCGGGCCGCTGCATCGCAGCTCCGGCGGCCTCGACGACTGCTGCATAGCAGCTCCGGCGGTGTCGGGGCCGCTGCATAGCAACTCCGACGACGACATGGCCGCTGCATCGCAGCTCTGGTGGCATCAACGTCCGCTGCATCGTAGCTCCGGCGGCTGCTGTGTCACAACTACGTCGGCGACGAGGCCGCTGCTGCGGTGCTGGTAGGCATGCTTGGAGCGGACAGTGGGGGCTGTGGTGGTGCCTGTGTTGCGCGAGTGGAAGATGCATGTGCGTGAGGAGACCAAACAAACGGCTCTGATATGCACAGTTGGACGGTTATCGAGGTGGTTGATAACTGCGAGTTATCAACCGGCTTACGCCTAGCATCGGCCTTAAAAAAGGTCATTAACATTTCTTGGCGATTCATTCATACTCTCTCCGTCTCAAGATAAGTTTCTTAACTTTACTACAGTTTAGTACATAATTGCACCCCTCTTTCAGCTCTGGTCCGTCGCCACTGTGCACGAACACGCACAACCGATCCTGTGGGGCAAAGCTGACCTTCTGCTCTTGGAATTTGTTGAGTTGCTGGCCACTTGAGCAGAGCCATACCATGTGGTGGTTGCTTTCAACGGAGCAAGAAAGTCAAGAAGCCCCGGGAATCAAACGCGCCGAAGATGCTAAATGGGCCTATGTTGCGTGTCATGTGATCAAATTAGCTTATGCCTAAATGAGTCTACTTATCAGAACTATTTATGTTTGAAATTTAAACATTTAAAGAAATAAGAAAACCAAGAATTGACATGCATTCATTCAAGTCCATGGGCAATCGAGCAAGCACTAATGAAAATGAGCAGGGGGTTAAGGAGTCTGGAAGAGTCTTTCGAGGTAGGGGATTGCAGCAACAAACGGTGTGGAAGTAATGCAGAGAGGAAATCTCATGGCTGGCAAGGAGGACGAGGGCAATGAGGACCATCTCGCCATTGCCGGATCTAGGCCGTTGGCTGGGAAGGGGGGAGAGGTGTCGACAGAGGTGCGTTCCAGCTTCTCCCTCATGTCTATAGACATGAAAAACCTTTGCCAGCAAGAGATGATTGCGGGGGAGCGACATCATGGGTTTTGTGCTTAGACGTAGACATAGTTGAACCGGAGTTTAGTGGCCATGTTCTGGGAGAGCGAAATGACATTGTTTAGGCAAGTGACGAGAAATTTGGGTTTGTGCCAACATTGTGCTATAGTTAAATTTGTACAATGCAAATCGCCACGCAACAATGTAAATAAGGTCTTTGTTTTAGTTTGATTTTCTTGTCTATACACCTTATTTTCTTTTTCAGTTTTGTTAAAGCACATCTAGATTGCCAAGGACTTAGATGTGCAATACTTAGGTGTATACACCTTATTTTCTTTCTCAGTTTTGCCAAGGAGAGGAGCGGGGTTGCGACGCGCGCGGCGAGCTGGCTCCAGAGGGCGCTGCGGGCGGATGGCGGTGCTGGGCAGCGGAGGAGCAAGGGCGGCACGACGAGGCCCATGAGCAGAGGGCGCTGGTGGTCTACGGCAGTGCGGGCCCTATCCGCGTCAAATCTAGGTCAAGAGGGCCTAGGTCGCCATGCTTCTCTGATGGGGTTCGTGTGTGCCGCTTGCGTTGGCCCGAGGCAGCTTGCGACGACAGCCGCCACCCCTGGTGGCTGGGGTTCTGGAGGCGGCTCGGCCAGTGACGTGGTCGGCATGGCCGCGGGCCACAAGCTGTGCGCGAGATGAATGACACCCTGCTCGGTGTTGTATCCTTCTGATGGTGGTTCGGAAAGCTCGACACTGTCGTAGATGGGAGGATAAGATGGTGGTGACTGGAGGGAGAGGAATGGCATTGTTGCGGTTGTTGCATCCTTCGTCGGGAGAGGAATGGCCCGTAGGCGTTGCATCCTCGAGAAGATGAATGGCGTCCCGCTTGGTTGCATCCTCTCGATGGGAGAAGAATGGTGCCGCTGCAGGGTTGCATCCTCCGTCCAGTGGGGACGCGGATGCAAGATTGGAAGCATGTCGAGCTTGCCGGGGATGTGTGGTTTGCCGCGGAGGTAGGGATAGTGGTTTAGTGTGTAGGCTGATCGGATCCTGGGCTCGAACTGTGTACGTGAGACGGTCGGCGAAAGTCGTACTCCGGTTGTGGTCGGAGTCGTCGACGGCGGCGCCCTCTTGCATCGCTCCCTCATTGGAGGCATCGAAGTAGCTGCTCCCACCTTGTCTTTCCTGCCGTGCTTCGGGGAAAACCCTTGATCTAGTTTAGATCAGATGATGGCGACACTATCCGGTGTCGCGTTCCCTCTTGGGGGCATCGTCCTGGAGGTGGATCTGATCAGAGAGACCCGTGATTCATGAGGGTGTGTATATTGTTTGCCGAAAGATGTCGTTTATATGGTTTTTAGGTCCGATTTTTCTTATAAACTGGACCAACCTTCTCCTTCTCATGTTCAATGAATTTAGCAGTAATGCTAACATTTATCGACGCAGTCAGCGAACCAACCTATGATTGGATGGTTAGGTGGACAGTGGTATCCCCAGCCCACCAGGGTTCAAGTCGTGATGCTCACATTTATTCTGGATTTATTTCAGGATTTTCGGCGATACACGTTCAGTGAGAGAAGATGTTTCCGTCGACTAAATCTCAAGATGATATGCCGGCTCAGTTTTTCGGAGATGCTTATATGAATAGAGTGTGCGTATGTGCGTACATAGAATGAGTGTATGCGTGTACGTATATATGAGCGCCGGTGTCTGTAGTGATGTTGAGAAAAAAAAGAGACGCAGGCAGGATCGGTTGGATCAAAAGAAAAAAATCGACGTTCTATCTTCATATAAGAAGAAGAAGACGCAGGCAGGATCGTTTGGATCAATCGATCGTTGCAGGCAGCCTAAACTCGATCCATCTGTTGTTGGTCTCGAACTCTCGATTAGTCCTGTTGGTCGGCGGGAAACTCTCCAATCCCTAGCACTTCCCTAATAATCAGAGAACCTGTATATATAGATTATCTAACAGTGGAACCACCTAATAATCTGGTACGTCTCCTTAGGGGAAGCAGGGAGGGGAAGAAAAACTTCAGTGGTCTGCATTATCGTAATCGATCAGGCTGGTGATAGCTGCGTCGCTGTCGTCACTTGCAGCAAGCGATGTGAGGCGCAAAGTTGATGCAGGAAGTATTGTTGGACATGGTAGAGCTGCAGTAGCATGGATAGGTCGAGGCGCAACTTGATGGCGTGTGTTGACTCGCTCCACTGCCGATCTAGCCGGCTGATCAGTGAGCATCCCATTAAATTAATCAAGTGTTTGCCAACGCTTTGATCGACCTGTTAAGGGAAGCAGAGGCTCGCTGACACTCTGTTAGTGAGTGCCTACCTCTTTCCCAGTGTACCCCACTTCTTTTATTAGGACTTAATGAAAGATAATAACTTTAAAATTGTTTCCCTCTGCATCCCTATTATTTGAAGGTTTTAGCCTTCATTACATCTCAATGGTTTGCTTGCATTGTTCATGGAATTATTCCCTTAAAGTTTTTTTTGTTTTGGTCCTTTAATACGCATGGTATTTCCTTATTAATCATTGCATCATGGTGTTTCCTTATCAATCATAGTTTAAACAACGAGTCGCTGCTTTGCCCCTTTTTACTTCAGGCGCGAGGAGAGGGAAAGAGAGACAGCACTGTTGGTGACTTCCTCTTCCTCTATGCCACAAGCTACAAGGTATGGAACTATCGCGCGCCCTCTCAACCATTGCTCAATAGCTAGGTCTACGACCCGGTAGGTAACTTGAGACAACCGTTCTACTAGCCTTTCAACTCAATCAGATTAGCATTTTTATTGAACTACGTTCCCTTTCACTAACTTAAGAGTAAATTGCACAAAACCACCACTTTGAAGGCAAGGTTTGTGAAAACCACTACAATACATTTTTTTTGCAGAAAACACCATGTCTTCCGTAATCTTTTTTGCAGAAAGCATTTATGGGCGGATCGGGGTCAATTAAGCTTGTTTATGACAGGTGGGGCCCTTTTTGCGTACATGGCACCGTCGGCCGTCCCGACAGCTGTTAGACGGCGTTTGACGGCGCCGTATGCCTCTGTTTGATGGACCGGTCAAAAGACCGGTCGATGCTGCCCCCACTCCCCACTCCGCACTCTGTCTCGCTGCTCTCTCGCTCACTCCTCCTCTGTCTTGCTCCTCTGCTTTGCTCGCCGCACCCGCAGCCGCGTCGCCGCACCCGCCGCCGCGTCGCCGCGCCCCCGCCGCGTCGCAATGGTGTCCTGGAGCGATGGGTCCGATAGCAGCGAGCACACCGTGGAGTACGTCAGCTCAGGTTCTGACGACGACAGAATTAAGGTAAGTTCAGATTTTTAGGGTTAGGGTTTGTGATTTGGGGGATTTCTTGAATGAGCTTGTTTGCTGACATGTGGATCAAATCTCTGGTATTCCTATGCACTACAGATCCCTGCTACCATTGAAGACTCCGATTTCGAGGGACCTGAAACGGAGTTGCTTGTTCTCTGCAATGAACATGGGAAGGCCGCAGAAAGGCGTGTTGCTTTCGAAGGAATCCACACTGGCAGAAGGTTTCTTTGCTGTGTTGAGAAGGTATATTGTGATTTGTTTTCTCTGGATCTGCCTTTGTTTGTGCTCTGCCTTTGTTTTCTCTAGATCTGTACTGTGGAGGCAGGCATTGCAGTTTAGTGTTAAGTTTAGTTGTATTGTTTAGTTAGGAAAGTGAATGAGAAGCAATTGCTTACTCTGGCAGCATCTTTTCCCCTTGGTCTGGCAACATTGTTAAGTTATGTCACTTTGTTTAGTGTAGCATGCTATTAATAATTTAAGACAGAATATGCATGGGTTACTAGAGCAGGACAGAGGATGCAACTTGTTTAGTATGACATGTTAGGTCATTTGATTGATTCTGTTTACTTTATAGCAGGACAACATTGTTTAAGTAGCATGAGGACATGTTTAAGTAGTCCTCTCTTTAGCTAGCAAGCTCAAGCTCTGAATTTGACGATAATAATTATAATGTTGCTTGGAAGCATTCTAATGTTTTTGTTTATATTAATTCTAATTTTGTTCAGGAAGGTAGAAACTGTGGATTAGTTGAATGGATTGATCCAGCTTGGCCCAACACCCTTGAGAATGCATTAGCCAAGTTATGGTTTATGTATGAACAAAGTAGGAGAGACAGGACTGAGGAAAATCTTTTGCATTCATTTGCTGTTCATGACTTGACACAAGAGAAGAAGAAGCTGCAGGAGAGCTATGAGAAGTTGGTTGAAGATGTGAATGGACTTTTGGATGCTCAGGAAAGGAGGGCAGAGGTAGAAAGGAAAGATCTTGAAACCAACAAGCTTCAGGAGAAGTATGACATGGTTAAGAACCTAGCAGCTACTCAAGCAAATTTCATTAGGAACATGAAGCTCAAGCTAGCTGAAGAGAGGAAGAACTTGCAGAACCACATTGATGAGTTGAAGAAGACAGTTGAAGAGAGCAATGTGAAGCTGCGGGGAGTCAAGGCCATCATAAATGGATAAGCAGGTGGTTCTGGAAGAGAAGAATGGGCAATATCTTTTGGCATTTGCTGACCTTTCGTAGAGTGTGGTTTGGCATTTGCTGTAATGATGGTAGTTTAAATTCTTTGAACTATGAGCACTTCTGAACTATGGTGATGTAATGTAGTAATCTTCAACTATGATTATGTATGGATTTGAACTAATGCGAAATGTGGTGGTATTTGGAGGTGCTGAATGTGATCTTAAGTAAGATGCTTGCAAATTGATGATTGTGATCTTAAGTATGTTTCTGTGCAACTGGTGTTTTTTAGCTTAGTAAGCTATTTGCAGTTGTTGAATTTGATCTTAAGTGTGTTTATGCTCAACTGATGATTGTGAGGCATCAAGTAGGCTCAACTATGGTTTTTTTGGCTTTTTATCGACGAGGAGGCATCAAGTAGGCTCACTTATGGTTTTTTGGCTTTTTATCGACCCCGAGGAATCAAGTAGGCTCAACTAGGTTTTTTGGCTTTATATCGACACCGAGGCATCAAGTAGGCTCATTTAGGTTTTTTGGGCTTTTTATCGACCCCGAGGCATCAAGTAGGCTCAACTATGGTTTTTGGCTTTATATCGACGCCGAGGCATCAAGTAGGCTCAATTAGGTTTTTTTTGGCTTTTTATCGACCCCGAGGCATCAAGTAGGCTCAACTAGGGTTTTTGGCTTTTTATCGACCCCGAGGCATCAAGTAGGCTCAATTAGTTTTTTTTGGCTTTTTATCGACCCCGAGGCATCAAGTAGGTGAAGGAAATATGCCCTAGAGGCAATAATAAAGTTATTATTTATTTCCTTATTTCATGATAAATGTTTATTATTCATGCTAGAATTGTATTAACCGGAAACATAATACATGTGTGAATACATAGACAAACAGAGTGTCACTAGTATGCCTCTACTTGACTAGCTCGTTAATCAAAGATGGTTATGTTTACTAACCATGGACAAAGAGTTGTTATTTGATTAACGGGATCACATCATTAGGTGAATGATCTGATTGACATGACCCATTCCATTAGCTTAGCACCCGATCGTTTAGTATGTTGCTATTGCTTTCTTCATGACTTATACATGTTCCTATGACTATGAGATTATGCAACTCCCGTTTACCGGAGGAACACTTTGTGTGCTACCAAACGTCACAACGTAACTGGGTGATTATAAAGGAGCTCTACAGGTGTCTCCAAAGGTACATGTTGGGTTGGCGTATTTCGAGATTAGGATTTGTCACTCCAATTGTCGGAGAGGTATCTCTGGGCCCTCCCGGTAATGCACATCACTTAAGCCTTACAAGCATTGAAACTAATGAGTTAGTTGCGGGATGATGTATTACGGAACGAGTAAAGAGACTTGCCGGTGACGAGATTGAACTAGGTATTGGATACCGACGATCGAATCTCGGGCAAGTAACATACCGATGACAAAGGGAACAACGTATGTTGTTATGCAGTCTGACCGATAAAGATCTTCGTAGAATATGTAGGAGCCAATATGGGCATCCAGGTCCCGCTATTGGTTATTGACCGGAGACATGTCTCGGTCATGTCTACATTGTTCTTGAACCCGTAGGGTCCGCACGCTTAAGGTTTCGATGACAGTTATATTATGAGTTTATACGTTTTGATGTACCGAAGGATGTTCGGAGTCCAGGATAAGATCACGGACGTGACGAGGAGTCTCGAAATGGTCGAGACATAAATATTGATATATTGGAAGCCTATGTTTGGATATCGGAAGTGTTCCGGGTGAAATCGGGATTTTACCGGAGTACCGAGAGGTTACCGGAACCCCCCGGGAGATATATGGGCCTTAGTGGGCCTTAGTGGAAAAGAGAAGAGGCAGCTAGAGATGGGCCGCGTGCCCCTCCCCTCCCTTGGTCCGAATAGGACAAGGAGAGGGGGCCGGCCCCCCTTCCTCTTTTCCCCCTCCGTGAATCCTATTCCAACTAGGATTGGGGGGGGGAAGTCCTACTCCCGGAGGGAGTAGGACTCCTCCTGGCGCGCCTCTCCTAGGCCGGACACACCCCCCCTTGAGCCTTTATATACGGAGGCAGGGGCACCCCAGAGGAACACAAGTTGATCTTCGTGATCGTTCCTTACCGTGTGCGGTGCCCCCCTCCACCATATTCCACCTCGGTCATATTGTAGCGGTGCTTAGGCGAAGCCCTGCGACGGTTGAACATCAAGATCTTCACCACGCCGTCGTGCTGAGGGAACTCCTCCCCGAAGCTTTGTTGGATCGGAGCCCGGGGAGCGTCATCGAGCTGAACGTGTGCCAAGAACTCGGAGGTGCCGGAGTAACGGTGCTTGGATCGGTTGGACCGGGAAGACGTACGACTACTTTCTCTACGTTGCGTCAACGCTTCCGCTTCGTTCTACGAGGGTACGTAGACAACACTCTCCCCTCTCGTTGCTATGCATCACCATGATCTTGCGTGTGCGTAGGAAATTTTTTGAAATTACTACGTTCCCCAACAGTAGGCTCACTTAGGGTTTTTTTGGCTTTTTATCGACCTCGAGGCATCTAGTAGGCTTTTTTGGCTTTTTATCGATGCCGAGGCATCAAGTAGGCTCAACTATGTTTTTTGGCTTTATATCGACGCCGAGGCATCAAGTAGGCTTTTTTGGCTTTATATCGACCCCGAGGCATCAAGACTAGCATCACAAGGGTAAGTTATGGGTTTCTGGCTTCTTGGTGATTGGCACAACATTATCATCACAAGAGTAGCACCATCATCATAACTAGAGTAGCACTAGATTAGTTGATCATCCCAGTTGATCATCACAGGACTACTAGAATGCCATAGTTTGACAGAAGGATCATAACTGGAGTAGCACTACATTAATTGATCATCACTTGATCATTACAGTACCAGAACCTAAGTTGGTCATTACAGTACCAGAACATAACTTGATGATCACTTGGTCATCAAAATAGAAGCAGTGTCACAACATGATAAAGCATATTTTGGATCACAACATCAATCCCATGCTGCACCAGAAGCAGTCAGGTAGTCCTTTATCTTTTGGGTTGGCTTTCTGACTCTCTGAGAACCACTGTTTGGTCTTGGAGGCAAGAAAGCTGCCCTTGCTCCCTTTGCAGCAGTTGAAGCCCTAGTTTGTGGAGCCTTACCCTTTGTAGCAGCAGTAACAGTTCTTATTGATGGTGCAGTGGCAGTAGATGGAGTACTCCTTGCTGGTGCTGGTGCAGTGGCAGTAGATGGAGTCCTCCTTGCTGGTGCTGGTGCAGTGGCAGAAGATGGAGTTCTTCTTGCTGGTGCCGGTGCAGTGGCAGTAGATGCAACCCTTCTTGCTGGTGCTGGTGCAGTGGCAGCAGATGCAGCCCTTCTTGCTGGTGCTAGTGCAGTGGCAGCAGATGCAGCCCTTCTTACTGGTGCAACAGAGGAGGCAGCAGTAGCAGCATCAGGTGGGTAAGAAGAGCTGCTTGGCTGCAAAAAGAACACAAGTAATTCATCATTTTTGTTACATGCATAGAGAACACAAGTAATTTAGCATGTTTTGCATTATTTGTACCTCATGCCTGTTCTTTCTCATGGCTAGTGCAGGCTTCAAAGCAACATGGCAGTTGGTGTACCTATGGCCAACTTTGCTGCAATTAGAACAAGTGATTGAGGCCATCCTTGAAGTGTCTTTTGGAGCTGGCTTCTCATGTCTGCCCTTTCTTCTCTTAGTTTGTGCTCTACCTTTGTGTTCTTTGAAGACTAGAGGGTCAATGTCCCTACTGTCTATCTCTGGCCACATGTCAGGGCCAGGTACTGGATAGATTATGGGACTGTATGCAGCCTTGTACATTTGTTTTTTGAAAAAATCATGAACAAAGTCCTCTGGCTATAGCTTAGCTTTGTGAATGGCAGAGACAGCATGATGGCAAGGCACTGCTGTCATATCCCACTTCCTACACCCACAAGTGTTTTTCTGCAGGTTAACAACATATGTTTTCTCTGCACTTGTCACTTGGTAAAGATGTGGTCCAACCATCAAGGATTGGCAGTTCCTAGACCACTGCTTTGCTTCTTCTAATTTCTCTGCATATGTAGGACAAATATCCCATTTGACAGTACCAACTTTTGTTCTATTTGCATTGAACTTGACCATCAACTTTGTCCTAATTCCATCAATCATGGTCCTTATTGGCTTAGCCCTAACATCTAGGACCCACCTATTGAAAACCTCACTTAGATTGTTAACAACTAAGTCTGTCTTGCAGTTCACATCCATGGCATGTCTGGCCCAAGTGTGTTTGGGTATTTTGCTAAGCCACACCCAAGCTGCTTCACACTCTTGTCTTTAACTCATCCATTGCAACTTGGAAACCATGTTCAGTATATGAGTAACTTGCTGCATCCATGTATTTTTTTTAATTTTGGCCCTCTAAACCCAGCAATCTGAAAGTTCTCGTAGATATGCCTAAGACAAAACCTTTGTGGGCAATTGGGGAAGACTCTATTTATGGCTTTCAAAAGACCCTGTATGAAACAAGTACAACTAAGTAACTACAACTACATTAAAGTAACTACAACTGCATGAAAGTAACTACAACTGCATGAAAGTAACTACAACTACATGAAAGTAACTACAACTACATGAAAGTAACTACAACTAAATATATTACCTTTTGCCTATCTGAAATGATTGTGTACTGTCCAAACTGTCCAGATTGCCCACCTATTGCCTCCCTCAGCTGGTATAGAAACCAGGTACAGGAATTAGTGTCCTCCTTGTCTACAATTCCAAAAGCAATGGGAAAAATGTTGTTGTTCCCATCTCTTCCAGTAGCAGCTAGGATTTGTTGACCAGTAGTGAGCTTTATTAAGCATCCATCCAAACCTACAAGTTAAGCACAAATGATTAGCACTTCAAAGAACATACAAGTGGCGTAAACAACAATACAAGGCAATTACCTATGAATGGTCTGCAGCCATTGAGGCACCCTTCTTTGCATCCATTCAGGCAGATGAAAAGTC